GAGGGTTGCAAGTTCAAATCTGACCTGCACAACTTGCTGACTTAAGCAGATGCAGTCTCATGAAAAATGGAAAGGGCTGGGGGCATAGCTCAGGGTGAAGGCCCTGAGTCAATCCTCAGGACCACATACACACAAAAAGAGTGAGCAAGCTGGATGTGGTGGCACACTTGAGATCCTAGCTCTTGGGAGGCTGAGGCAGGAGGATCACTCAAACTTTGCTGAGTTTGAGGCCATCTTGGGCTACCAACAAGACCCTGTCTCAAAAGATAAATAAGAAAGAAAAAAAAGCCAGTAAATGAGAACAGCCTAGAGGCTGCCTGCCGCCCTCTGTGCCCTTGCATGGTAGCACCTCTCTCTGCTCTGCCCGAGTGGGCGCCATAGTGCTGAGGATGGTGTGTGTGTGCGGCACTTGACTTGGGGGGGGCACTGAGGGTGTGCTGTGTGTGTCCTGGCTGCCTGGGTTTCGTGACAGGGACACCCTTCCCCCCAACACAGCGTCCAGAGCCCAGAGAGGGCCAGGAGTCGCGCTTCACCTCCAGGGCCTTTCACTGTCCCTGAGTCCTGCCCCGAGCCGCAAGCCTCTGAGTGCTCAGCGCCCAGCCCCGCCCAGCCGGGAGACTTGGAAGCCGCCATGGGGCCTGGCGCGGCCCGTGGCTGGGCCCGTCCTGAAGGAGCAGTGAGGTGTCTCTGGGGCGGGGGGTGTTTGCTAGGCCAAATGACACATCCATGGGGTGCCTGAGGGCCTCGGGGCCGTGCTTTCCCTGCAGGGAACACGGGCATCTCATGCCGGGGCAGAGAGGAGAGGAAGATGACAATTTTTTTCCAGTACTGGGGATGGAACCCAGGGCTCTGGACTGAGCTTCGCCCCCAGGTCGTTCTGTGTTTTGTTGTGAGCTAGGATCTGGCTAAGTGGCTGAGTTACCCAGGCTGAGCCCAACCTTGCAATCTTCCTGCCTCAGCCTCCCAGAGTGCTGGGGTTACAGGCCTGTACCACCACACCTGGCCCCCTTATTAATTTTTAAGTATTCCCTCTATATTTGCCCATGAACCAGTTCTTCGGTGGTTTAATTGACTTTGAAATATATCAGCATATACATAAAACAAATTAATTTCTGCTATTTAACTTCAGCTCGAAGTCTAATGTCAACCGTCTGGGGGATGACAAGTTGGGGACAGGCTTAGGAAGGGCATGGCCCCGAGGCAGGACAGGGCGAGGAGGGGACCCTGGGAGACCTTTGCAGGGCCCTGTGTTAAGCTGGCTGCTGTCCTAAGTACTGCAGGTCTCTGCATGGACCTGACCGTAGTCCATTCCACCTTCTGCCCATTTGAAAGAGGATCTGAGCTGAGAGCAGATATGGGGCCGCCGCGGAGCCAGGTAGTAATGGTGAGGCTGGGGTGGCCCTGGGCAGCACAGCTCTGAGGCGCTCAGAGAGTCTCACTATGTAGCTCAGGCTGGCCTCGAACTTGAGATCCTCCTGCCTCAGCCTCCCGAATGCTGGGTATGTGGCACCACCTCTGACTTTTTTTCCTTTCTATGACGTTTTTGTTAAATCGGTGGACATTTATATGGACAGGGGCTTTCATCTGGCGTGGTCACACACACACATATCACACTTGGATCATTTCTACTCCCCGCCTTTGTGTAGTTTTCTCAGGCTGGGTTCTTACGCCTGGATGAACCAGGCAAAGAGGAGAGATTTAAAAACTTTTTGAAAATGGTTCTTGGCAGCTATCAAGTGAGGCCCAATCTACTTTCTTTAGTCTTATTTTTCAGCCCAAACTTAGACTGGGACTCCCTGAGCGGCGTCGGACAGCGGCGTCAGGACCGGAAGATGCATCTTGGCGGCTTTGAGGACTCAGGGGAAACGCAGTTAGGCTGGCCGCTATCACACTCCTACCCCAGGTCATCTGGCCATCTCCGCTGCCTTATCAGAAACGCTTGCAGGAAGTGCGAGGGGCTTGGCTGGGGGGCTGACACCACCCGACTCAGCCTCTGGGTGTTTCTGGGGAGGGACTGATACCTGCCACCGAAGGCCCCCCGGTGGAACTCCGAGGAGGACGGCCCGAGCTCCAGAGAGACAGAGAGCCTGCTGTGTGTGACTTGGAGTCAGGACTGAGGCCCCAGAACTGCGCAGGCAGTGGGAGCTGCCCTTCCCGCCCACTGTGAGCAGAGAGCCGATGAGCTGTGCAACCCTGACCGCCTCCCAGGGCGGCTCTGAGAACTCAGTGAACCGCACAAAACTGCCCTTCACTTCCACAAAGTAAAACTCACGCCCTTTGGTCAAACATCTGTGTTCCAATTCTGAGAGAGACACTGGTCCCAAGAAGTATGTCCTTGCCACAGGGAGAACCCAAGGGCCTTTAAAATGGAGGGGGAATCTCAGCTTTCATGTCAGCAGGCAACCAGGACTGGCGGGGACCATGGGGGACTGGCGAGCTCACATCCACGCAAAAAGGTGGCTGGTCCTTGGCACCAGGTGACTGGAGCTCGGCCAGAAGTAGAAGTTTATTTATCTTACTTAGTTTTAAGACAGGATCTCACTAGGTAGTTCAGGTCGGCCTTGAACCGGTAGCGATCCTCCTGCCTCAGCCTCCCCAGCGCGGGGGTGACAGGCGTGCACCACCACGCCCAATTTGCGTCTGTATTTTTAACCACTGAAATCTTGATGGAAATAGTTGCAGACGCATAAGCAGTTGTGATAAGTAATAGAGTGACCCTGTACGCTTTACCCAGGGGTGACCTCTTGTGAAACTACAATACGGCGTCCCAAGGGGGAAGCTGAGGGCTCACAGCCCACTGACCTTATTCCGATTTGCGTGATTGGACCCGCGCCCCCTCACTGCGCCGGCGCGGTGTACTCGGCTCTGAGCGAGGCGGTCACCTGGGCGACCCCGTGTCAGCAGCCACTGTGAACATGGCGGCTCCCGATGGGGACCCAGGCTGGGCGGGCACGAGAGGGGGCGTGACTGTCCTTTCTGTGTATCTGCAGGGACCCCGTGAAAGTTCTTCCCTTTCCTTTTTTTTAGACAGATGAAAGAGTACACTGGACACAGCTGTCCACGGGAGTCCTGGCCGCTTTCCATGTCTGTACATAGGGATCCTTTTCACTTCCTTCCTTTTAGTATTTAAATACGATTTTAAAGACAGCCGGGTGTGGCGGCACATGCGTGTCCTCTCAGCGCTCCAGAGGCAGAGCAGGAGGATCCCTGTGAGTTCAAGGCCAGCCTGCGCTACACAGGGAGATCCTGTCTCTAAAAAGAAACCAAAACCAAAACCGACAACAGCAAAACTGCATTTTAAAAGAAAATACAGCCGGGCGTGGTGGCGTTCGCCTGTAATCCCAGCACTCAGGAGGCTGAGGCAGGAGGATCGTTGCAAGTTCCCTACCAGCCTGAGCTGCGTAGAGTGATCCTGTCTCAAAAAAGAAAAAAAAAAAAAAAAAAAAAGAGAGAGAATACACTCATGACTTAAAACTCAAAATGAACAACAGAGAGCTCAGTGAAAGGCTCTTCTCCTGTTAGGCTCTATGGTGACAAGTATGTTCAGTTACTTCGGAATGCTTCTGTATTCTCTCCTGCTGTTATTATTATTATTATTATTATTAATTTTGTGGTGCTGGGGATGGAATCTAGGACCTTGTATATGCTAGACAAGTGCTCTGCTGCTGAGCCCTACCCCAACCCCTCCCGCTCGTTTAGATTTATTTTTTGAGATAGGGTGGACTCGAGCTCACAGGGATCTTCCTGCCTCAGCCTCCTGAGTGCTGGAAGGACACGTGTGCACCACCGCGCCCGGCTCCTCCTCCTTACATCCAGCATTTTGGTGGTTTTTTTTTTTTTTTTTTTTTACATCCAGCATTTTGAAGCTTGATGTTTTTGGCTCTGAACGTCTCTGGGAGCCCCGTTGTGACAGAGGAGCCCCTCTGACACAGTCGTGTCACTGTCGCCTGTGACGCCACCCGTTAAGGGCAGTGGCCTCCTGGGTGAGCACGTGGGCTGGTCCCCTTCTTCTTTGCATCCTGTTCACCTAGAGGAGAGGACTTCCAACGGCAGAACCCCAGGCGGGCGCAGAGAGAGCATTCGAGGCCCTGCGTCCCGGCTCCCCGGGGAGCACCGCGCCCGCCCAGAGGCCGGGAGTGTCTCGGGGCAGAGCGGTGGCCCTTCTGCCCGCCCGCTTCCTCCGCGTGACGGGCCGCCGGTGACTCACGGAGCCGCGCTGGCCCAGCCTCATCCCCGCCCCAGGCACGGCACAGACGCCCCCTCCGGCGCGGTCGGAGCCCAGGGCGTCGCCCAGGCGACCCGCGACGCC